TTTTTTTTACCCAGTGGCCATTTTGGAACCGCCGATCAGCTGTTAAAAAATCATCGCTTTGCGATGATCGGTAAGCGAAACAGGGTACCAAACATCGCAAAGCGATGTTTCCCCATAGGGAACATCGGTATGCGATCGCATTACCGATTGCAAAATCCACATCGCTATGCGGATTCTTCGTTAAACGGGGCGCTCGTTATGCGAGGCACCACTGTATATAAATATGTGCTCCAAACAGCAGTTCTCAGTTCCATCTGCCAAAGAAAAAATATAATAAGACACTGAGGGGAGGAGGGCAGGAAGTGTGAATCTACAGATGACCAATCAAAGAACAACAGTTACAGGTAAGAAAACAGTTCTTCATGGTCTCTGTAGATCACACAAATCAGTGGACTCCAAGCTAGCTTACCGGAGATGGGAGTGTCACTGTAAAATAGATGAAAACAGACCCCTGAAATGAATGTCATTTCTAGAACTCGCATCCAACAGATAATACTTGAGGAAGGTAGATGGTTGAAATGAGGTGGCAGCTTTAGAAAAATTGTGGAGAGGAATGTCTTTGAGGGCTGCTGCTGAGGAAGCAAGAGCTCTAGTCAAATGCCCCTTCAGACTTAAAGGTGTTGGAAAACTAATAAGTCAGGACGATATAGTCTGTGACCAATGCACTAAGCACTCTGATGAAAACCTGGATACCTTTTCTAGAACCTCCATACAAACAAAAGGCAGCTTGATTTATGAAAAGAAGCAGTCTGTTACAGACAGAACGAGAGTGCTCATCTAACATTCAATGTGTGTAAGGCATGCTCCAAAGCTGAGGTAGGGTTATGACAGAAATACTATGTCTTGTCGGAGATGGAAGGTTGAAACCACCTTAGGGGAAAAGATAAGTCTGGATGAATTGCAACTTTAATAGATGAGTAAGAAAGTCCCTTGTGTTTTAGAAAGAGAAGAAAACGAAAGATATTGGGAACATAGCAAGAAAACCATCAGAAATTGTGTTCTTGAGCAAACCACTAAAGCTTCCATCTGGTAGCTTGAATCACTTTGTTAATTTTAGATTGGAGAGAGTGAAGGGTTATATCTTCCAAGATGTCAACTGAAGATACTAGAGGGCCAGATGAAGGATATGGCCATGGACCTGGTCTGTTTTGGAAGATGAAAAAACCTGAAGAAGGGTGACAAGCTAGGGTTTCCTTAGTCACCAGGGAGTGAAGAGGATGGCCTTGGTCTTGAACCTGGCCATCCAGCTAGAGTAGAGTGTTGAGTTTCTGATCACTGGTTCTGCAGATGAGACTTCTGGTGAAGCAGGAGGGGGTACTAATAAGTGAGGCTCCAAGTGCCCTTCCTCATCAAATTAAGAGTGAGGAGATGGGCCTTGAGGTTTAGATGTGTCAACATGGCATATCTGCTGCTTTAGGGAATGTTGTAACTGGGATTCAGGAGCCATAGTGGTAAGCAAAGAAACAGATGAGGGTTGTAAGGTGATCTGGTAGGCAAGTACAGCTGTCGCCACCTGACAATGTTGTGCATTTTGGACCACTTGTGATGGTTGAAGTGGAAGAGTATGGTGAGGAAATGAAACTAGATGTGGATATCATTGATACATGTTCTGAAGGTGAGTATGACATAAGTAAACATGTCTATTGGAGGTATTATGTCAAGATGACTGGTATTGAGCTGATCATTGTTGAGAGGAGCAATAGGGAAGAGTGTGTCTATCAGGTGAGTATCAAGGTAAGTACCTTCACTGATACCAAGAAGAGTGAGATCTGGAACATGAATAGTGGGTAGAGTCAGAGTAGTCGGAGATGTCCAATACTGGTGAATAGGATAAATCATAGTAGGATCAAGAATCACAGGACTGAGCAAGAGACTGGTGATATTGAGAAGTAGAGGGGAAAGGCTGATATATTAAGGATGAATTGGAGATTTTCCCTTAAGAGCCAGATGGGCTATCCACAGGATAAACTGTGGATGCAGACAGATGGTCAGGTTGTGTGTCCATCACTACCACTGGCATACAGCCCATACCAGTGAAGATCTCAACGGACAATATTGGTGGCAAAGGTAGTACCAGGAGTGTAGTGTCCAGATCAAAAACTAAGACTGAGGACTAAGCCAGGGTAATAAATAAAATCAGTGGTACATTTGGGTCATCATCAGTGAATGTTGAGATCAGTACCAAAATTTTAACTGAAACAAAGACGAATGCCCAGACTCATGGATATAGTGAGACCAATCAGGATAACAAGTAGATAAAGAGAATCGTCGGTATCAGTGGGCAGTACTAAGTGACTATGGGCTGAGTAATGACTGGCTGCTGTGATAACAGGGCTTGAATTAATGGAATCAGTAACGGTGAGAATGGCACCGCTGAGAGGGCAAGAGGTTGTGATATTGCTCTGCTTTGGGGGTCTCTTTTTATATCCTTAGACTTCTTAGGCTTCAGAGTCTCGAGAGCAGGTGATGGAATTGACAGTATAGAACCCTGTTTCTTCAACTTTGGAGTAGGCTCCAGTGAAGAAAGAGGAGAGGCCTGAGAAGATGAGGTGGATTGAGACACTATAGCCGTAGGTGGAACAGATTAATCTTGAACAATGAACTCAGATTTGCCCTGTTCATTGGATGCAACTCTGTCTCTTGTATTGGGTCGAAACTGAAAGGTAAAAGCATGCTGCTTGTGTACCACCCCATAGTACTTTAAACTCTCTTGAGGTTGTTTACAATTTAATTATGCAAGCTACACATTGCCCACCCCCACCAAACTGGGTAAATTTACTGACATCAGAAAAATGGAAGGCTGAGTCAACCTTGAGCCAGCTGTTTGAGCCTGGGATTAAACTCAGGTCATGAGCAGAGTCTTCACTGCGGTACTGCAGCTTAACAGGTGGACCAGCATGGTGCATGGGCTCTGATGTCTTAGATGTGAAATAAGGAGCAGGTGATGTTGGAGCACAGGATGTTATGGTCAATTTGTGAGGCACCTTAGGTGTGTAGAGGGATTGATTTTGGGCTATCTGCTCTGTGAGACTGAAACCATGTAGAGGGGTCAATTTTGCGCCATCTGCTCTGTGGCTTTCAGCTGTTACTCCCACAAAAATAGCCTTAACCTAGATTTTCTAAGGAGTAGCCCCTGCTAAGTAGCATGCTTTTTAGATAAAGCCTTTACAGATGGAACCCACAGAGATAAGGTTCCTCCAAGCAAAAAGGGAAAAAAGGCATTTAGAGTGCTTATCAGTTTGGGCAATGCTTCCTCTGCAGCAGAGTGGGTAAAATCAATGAATTTTTAAAATCATTGATTTAAATTAAAAAAAATAGATTTAAAAATTTTTAAATCACACACAAAAAATCCAATTTTTAAAATTTTAAATAGTGATTTAAAGCAACTTGATTTAAATCAAATCCACCCTGCTCCACAGGCCATATATTTTTAAAATAAAGCCATACTGGCCATGTGACTGGTTTAGGCCCAGAGTCACAGAAAACCCCCCCCAGAAAGTATCAAGATAATTACAGTGGGGTCTCTACTTAAGAACGTCCCTACTTAAGAACAATCCAACTTAAGAACAGCTCCATTTGCTAAATTTTGTTTCTACTTGAGAACAGAAATCCAAGATAAGAACAGGAAAAAAAAAACTTTCCTGCTCTTTTTTTAACCTTAGGTCATCTTAGGTTAAAAAAAATTCTCCCCCTAGTGGTAGAGTACGTATTAACCAGCTTTGCATTAGTTCCTATGGGAACTAATGCTTCAATGTACGAACGCACCTCTACATAACAAAAAAACAGCCAGAACGGATTAATTGGTTTTCAGTCCATTCCTATGGGAAATTTTGCTTCAACTTAAGAACGTTTCAACTTAAGAACACCATTCCAAAACCGATTAAGTTCTTAAGCAGAGGTTCCACTGTAGTTTATATGGACGGAAAAGAGCAGATACGGATTAAATGGTTTTCAATGCATTCCTATGGGGAATGCAGATTCAACATAAGAACTTTTCAACTTGAGAACCACCTTCCAATACGGATTAAGTTCTTAAGTAGAGACCCCACTGTAAACTGATCACAGGAGTGGAAAGAAAAACAAAGGTTGATGAATATAACACAGAAGAAAGATAAGGGAGAAATACAGATGTTAAGAAGCTGCAGTAGTTGAGGAAGATTCATTTTATTCTAAGGGTTGCCAGCTGGGGCACACCTTTATATATGCAAGAGTTGGTATGGATGGGATTACCACCAAAAAGGTCAGCTGGGGTATGATCTGGAACATAGCCCTTTGCATGCACAAACCCATTTCTGTGATCCACAGAGACCACAAAGAAGTACAGCCTTGCCCCTATGGTACTCTGCAGGTGAATAAGGCAGCCTAGTGCAGTATAGTTCAGCCAATACAAAATAAGTAGACACAGCACTTAATGAAAGCTGTAAAATCATTAATGGTTGTACTGTATGAAGACAACCACATTGATAAAATCATTGATATCCAGGAGGGATTGCATACAATGACATACAAAGAAACAGGATGGATAAAAATCAATGATACAGGATGCACAGAAAACAAGAAAGGTGACCAGACAGAACATTGCATGGAATCCTACTGATATTTTCATAAGTTGTTATGGCTAACTGTCAAGATGCCAGGGCCCATCCCACTTTTGCAATCAGACATGCTACCAGGCATGCCTCTGAAACATGTCCCTTTATTTTGTCAATTGGCTGTAATTAGTTGCTGGCAAGTTGCACAAACCTTACACCAATAGGATTCTGGCCACTGTATGCTTCAGGTATTATAAATATGTGGCTGTGAAAACACAACAGTTTCAAAGTGCAATTCAAATATTTACTTACTTCTAGAAGCAGTTATTTCATCTTGATTTTAAAAAAGCAGCAGAAGCTCTCTCTTTTCTACATGGCACTTGCTTCTGATGGATTAATACCAGAAAAAGGGAAACACCACTGATATAGGCTGCAGGCTCTTTAGTATCTCCAACATCTACTTTGGACACTCATCTATTTGTATCTTTTTAGCAATAAATAATGCATCATCCAGTTTGGATTTTGCTCAGCTTTCTGTTGGAATTCATTAACCTAAAAAATAATCAAAACAAGCATTAGAATCAGAAATAAGCAGCAGTTATTTAAAGAATTCTGATAATATGAAAACAGAATTTTAACTTACTTTTCAGGGTTTACAATGAATTTAGAATGATCGCTCATGTTTCCAGTACAGTTCCTGATACTTTAAATAAACAATTGTTTGATTTCAGCACAGAAATGTAAATTAATCTTCCTATCAGGAACCATTGCACATGCACTGTTTTTAAACTTTCCTCTCATTTGATAAGTGCATCTAGGTTACAGCTCCTCTTAGCGAAATGCTATCACTTTGGACATTCTGTGTTACTGATTATTACAAAGACCTCAAAACTGTTTCACAGGTAAGGTTAATACAGCTGTAATAAGAAATGATTAGGAAGAAATTTACTTGTGATATCAAATCTCAGTTATTTTCACTGAGACACTTAAAAATCTCTTGCAAAGTAAAAGAAACTCATAGACTTTAAGAGTCTAAGTAACATTATTCTACCTGCATTCTATTTACCAACTAGTTTTCTTGAAGAGGGTGATAAGACAACACAACAACTGATTAAATCTGTAATTTGATATGGGCAACTGCTGGCCTTTCAGATGCTGGACTCAAATTGCTATCAGCTCTAGGCCACCATAAGTCCATGGTTAGGTATAATAACAGTTATTAACGGTAAGTGGATGGCTTCCATTTCCCCACGTTTGCCGTTTCAAATGTGGGCCACCAATAAGTTACGTTGCAGCAAATGTCAATCTATCATCTTTGGTTAGCAATCGAAGAGTTAGATAGCACCTGTTAAAGGCCAGCTATAGCCAGAGGCCTTCAGTCACTACAGTCCAATCAACCTACTGAGGAACTCCAGCCCTGGAAGGTACTAAGTATCAGTGCTAACAAAGGTACACCAGCATTCACTGTGGAGAGAGTGTTGCATATTCTTAGAGGTAAGACAGGCTCACTGTACAACACAATCATCTAAATACCATTAGAAATAACTGGCAAGACATTGGGCCTGCGGAGGTGTGGTGGATCGGGCTACGAAGGGTTTGTCAAGGTGCGGGGGAGGAGAGATATGCCATTTGGTGTGCTCCTTCCAGCCAAACAGCAAATGACTCCTTGTAGCCTGATCACTTGTTCATTAAGCACTTCCCCTGGTTGCCTGTGGGGGGTTGAGATGAGTACCCAGCTTGCTGGGAGGGGGCAATGTGTAGCCTGCATAATTAACTTGTAAACCGCCCAGAGAGTGCTTGAAGCACTATGTGGCGGTATATAAGCAGCACGCTTTTTTCTCCCTGACCAAGAAATGAGAAATTAAAAGTGGAGCCTATCTTGTTTATTGATTTATTTATTTTATTTATTTTATTTATATCCCGCCTATCTAATCAATTAAGACCACTCTAGGCGGCTTACAACAAAAATATTACAATGTAATTAAAAACAATTTTAAATAGGGGGAAACTTTAGACAAAATGGGAGAAACACTAGGAAAAGGAAATCCCCCCCCACTGAGAATCAGTAGCCATGATAGCAGAGGCTGCTCTCTCCAGGCTAAACAACGTGCATGCCAAAAACAAATGCATGCCCTACTACTGGGCCAGAAAGGTGTATGACAGCTCTTAAAGGGGAAGGATGGATCATTTTAAGTAGAATCACTTGCAGATTAGGCCATCTGTTTTCCAATCCAAACTTTATAATCCCTGATCCATATACTGTATACTCGTATACCTATATGCCATACCCATTATCTCATGCAAGACACCTTAGTAGATGCAAAGAAGGAACCAATCTTAGGTTCAATTATCCTTGTGGCACAGTGGTTAAACCACTGTACTGCAGCCAAAACTGTGCTCACGACCTGGGGTTCAATCCCAGGTAGCCGGCTCAAGGTTGACTCAGCCTTCTATCCTTCCGAGGTCGGTAAAATGAGTACCCAGCTTGCTGGGAGGGGGCAATGTGTAGCCTGCATAATTAACTTGTAAACCGCCCAGAGAGTGTTTGAAGCACTATGTGGCGGTATATAAGCAGCACGCTTTTTTCTCCCTGACCAAGAAATGAGAAATTAAAAGTGGAGCCTATCTTGTTTATTGATTTATTTATTTTATTTATTTTATTTATATCCCACCTATCTAATCAATTAAGACCACTCTAGGCGGCTTACAACAAAAATATTACAATGTAATTAAAAACAAATTTAAATAGGGGGAAACTTTAGACAAAATGGGAGAAACACTAGGAAAAGGAAAAAAGGGGAAATCAGGAATTGGCTGAGGGGAAGGCCTGCCGAAACATCAGTGTTTTTAGTTGATTTTTAAAACGTTGGGCACTTCTGTTCAATTTACTGGCTTCAAGAGCTTTAGAAGGGAAGAGAAGGAATTTCTTAAGAATTAAAAATTTTACTTGTAAAATAGAACCTGCCTAATGCATGGGTTCAGATGATTAAGCTTAAGTGAGAGTAAAGCTGCACATCACAAAAAGACAATACTTGTTATCAAGTATAATAGAACAGACCAAAGTGTACCAGCTACATGTGAATATAAACAGGAGAAAAACAATAATTATACAGCTATATAGAAATCATGTCTGTCAGTTTTATGTAAATATTTCCTGGACAGGAAATGAACACCAGTGCACACATGCCTTGGGTGTGACTAGGCTACGGCTCTTTAATAAATGTACCGTACACATTTAATTAAACATGTACATTAGCTACACGTGAAGAGGCTATTAGGACAAAGAAAACATCTAACTTGCTCAGTGCTAAAAAAGCTACTTGGAAGTTCTAATTATAACACTGCTACCCTGATAATCTATATGAACAACCAACATTATTACCAGATATTAAATGTGAAATCTAGCTTCCAGAAGTTATACATTTAATTGTTTTTAAATTAATAATGACTCCATATAATAATACAAGAAAAACCAAAATCAGATCTAGTGAGGACTAATTTATTTATTGAAACTCAACAACTGAGTGTGCTTATTTTAAGGTCTGGAAAACTAAACTTGATAAGACAATTGAACTTTTTTACACATCTACACTTTGCAAAATTTGACCTAAAATTTAAACAATTGTTTAAAGGTCCAGCACTCACTGTTTCTCATTTTCCCTTTACTGCAGCTCTAGAAATATACTAGAGATGGGGGTATTCATATACGAATATCCCCACACAGCTGGAGTTAATGAGGGTCCAGCCCATGGAGCTGGACCATCTACTCACATGTCCACCGCTACTGCTGGCCCCGCTCATCCTTCCAATGCCGTTCTCTTCCCGGTCGTCTGGCCACTCATGGCGGACGGAAAAAGGACAAGTCTCCTTGCAAGTCTGCCCAGTGGCTAGCCGTATGGTGCTCTGGAGGTATTGGAAGGAAGAGAGGGGCCACCGGCGGATGTGTGAGTGGACAGTCTGGCCCTAACTCCAGCTATGTGGGGATATTCATATTCACGAATACCCCCATCTCTAAAATACACACTTGCGAAAAGAACAAAATAGGTCCAGGAATTACTTTTGATGCTACTTTTGATTCATACACTATTTGTATGAATAAGGAATATGGAAAAGTGTACAAATAATATTGTTGTCAAGACCTAACATATGCAAAAGGCACATGAAAAGATGTCTGCTGATTTTGTTATTGAAAAGTAGCCTCTAATTCAGTTCAAAATCTGAAACTGTACAAAATTACAAGCCCTAGAACACTTTCACCAAGGAATAATGTGCCTTTCCTTATCTGAGAAGTACCTACATAGATAATATTCTCACCAATTCTTGTTCAACAACAACCAGCTTTCTAGTTTAAATGCCAGCATTTTCCAACAGAACACTTCATTAAGAAACAACACAAGTTGTGGAACTTTATCACGGGCAAGTTCACAGAAGCTGGCAAATAACTATTTATTTTTGATGGGCTTGGGATAAATATCTCCATTTTATTCCTTAGTTTGGCTTACTGTCTATTTCTTTAAATTAATTTTAATTCATGCTGTTTTAGAATTTCTTTATTGAAGAATTACAGCTTCTTAAATAGAACTGCAGTAGAAGTTCTGATTTCTTGATAATCTCTTAGTTTAGACAATAAGGCATCAAATAATCCTTCAATAAACCCACTTCAATTTGGGTAGAGGCCTTTCCGCTGAATTCTAAATTAATGACTATTTTTATTCATTATACCTTTAAAGTAAGCAAAACCAAGTTCATCTTAATCTTCCTATTGGCATCTGGGTGCTCAAAAACTTTAGCAAGTACAACTTTGAATTGGCATGTCAGATTCTCCAAATAAAGCAGTCAGTACAGTACTACTTTAACCAATGGGTAGAGGAAGCAAAAATCTATCAGGTGAGAAGCACTGCCCTAGTCTATACTAAGAACTGAAAGCAGCTAATCAATCTTATGATGAGTAAGGGTGTATATCCCCTTAAATCTCCTGCACATTCTTATATCCTCGTCCCAAGTAGCACTGTAAATACAATGGAACTAAAAATGAGCCAAACTTTTTTCAAACCACACAAACAAGGACAACCACACAGACCAAGGCCAGAAGGAAATCCCTTTTATTTTGTCTTCATGTCGGGGCTAGGTTTTTAAAAGGTGAGAGCACCACACATTCTTCTCCTAAACTTAAACAGGACTGAACTTGCGCTATTTATTTCCCCCTAGCCACAGGCTTGAGTTCACAAGACCTGGGCAAGGCAGTTGAAAACAGGACATTTTGGAGATTGCTCATTCACAGGGTCGCCATAAATCGGCGGCAACGTGACGGCCCGCAACAAAAACAAAGGGGGCGGCCCACTTGGCGCCTTCCAGATGTTGTGCGCTTGTGACTCCCGACAAGCAGGGGTGAAGGATGGCGGGGAGCTGCAGTTCGATCACAACTCGGGAATTACAGGTTACCCATTCCTCTCTAACCTAATCTATGGTAGCAACCATAAACACAGCATCGGTTTATGAGGATCGTGTCTACTACAGTATTTCAAAAGCAAATTATTGCGATGTAGATGCGGGGCGGGGGGGGGAGTGAAAGACTATTAGTTACAGGATCCCAAACTACTTCACTGGAACAAAAGGAGCAATTAAGCTCATTCTGAGGTAAGGGAAGTCCTAGGCCTGACAAAACTCATCGGGGTTCTCACATTTCCTCCACCCGGCCTCTGACAGAGACGAGCAGGGCCTCACCGTTTAGCCGTCGGGACTGACGGTGAGGGAAAGCAGTAAAGCACCCTGACCAGTTGTCTCCCCTCGGTTACCTTCGGCCCTCCTCCCTCCAGCTCGCTTTGTTTATTTAAAGCCGTTCTTTACCTCACGGGAGTATCCGCCTCTTCTGTACGACGAAAGTTGCCGCCGCGTCCGTTTCCGAACTGGAGCGGGAATCGGGTAGTAGTTTCTCAGAAGGGCTGAAGGACCTCAGGTAGGCCTGGGCGCGCCAAAGCAGCACAGCGACCCCTTCCGGCTGGTCGGCCAACAGCCGCTTAGGAGGAGGCGCCAAGCCGGGCGCGGGAGAGGATTTCGTTCGCCTGCTTCCCTTTGGCGCCCTCGGCTGGAATCATCCCCTTCGTGCCCCTATAGAAAGATAAAACAGCCCTACTTACGCGTTGAAGTCGAAACGCTGTGTGATCCCTGCACAAAATTTTAAAAATGGGTGGATAATATTTCTATTAGTGAAAACATATTCAGTGGTACATGGGTACTTGTGTGCAGCTGGGTTGAAGTTAAGCATCTCTACAAGAACCATACAATTGCACTCATTTCACAAGCTAGCAAGGTTAGGCTCAAAATCCTCCAAGACAGGCTTCAGCAGTATGTGGACCGAGAACTCCCAGAAGTACAAGCTGGATTTTGAAGGGGCAGAGGAACTAGAGACCAAATTGCTAACATGCGCTGGATTATAGAGAAAGCCAGAGAATTCAAAGAAAAACATCTACTTCTGCTTCTTTGACTACGCAAAAGCCTTTGACTGTGTGGACCACAGCAAACTATGGCAAGTTCTTAAAAGAAATGGGAGTGCCTGACCACCTTATCCATCTCTTGAGAAAACTATATGTGGGATAGGAAGCAACAGTTAGAACTGGATATGGAACAACTGATGGGTTCAAAATTGGGAAAGGAGTACGACAAGGCTGTAGATTGTCTCCCTGCTTATTTAACTTCTATGCAGAATACAT